GCCTTCGCCGCAGCCGACGCAGCAGCAGCTCGTTGACTCTGGGGGTGCTGGCGCTGGGGTGGGTACTAGTCCTGGAGTTCCTATCGTGGCTTGTCCCGGCGGGCCTGGGGGTGGTACCGGTATTCGCGGAGTTTCGGGCCCTGGGGGTGTTCCTTCTGGGGGTGCTGGAGTGGAGTGTTCCGAAGGTAGCCGTGGAGCAGCTTGCCACCCCGGTGTCGGTGTCGTGCCGCCGCAGCAGCAGTCATCGGCGGTGTCAGCCCTTTGCCTGCTCGGCCTCCCGTCCCCTAACCACGTGTATGTGCCTCCCCTGCCGTCTCCTCCCCTTCCTGTCTACGGCCCTGTGTTCCCTCCCCCGGACTCGTCTCCGGCTTGTCTTCCTCCTCGTTCCCCTCCTGTGTCCCCTCCTCTGTCTCCTGACCCGACGCCTCTGTCTCACGTCTGGTCTCGCCGTCCCTCCCGTGCTCGCTCCGTCTCCCCTGTCCCGCGCTCTCACCCTATGTTGCTTCGTTCCCACGCGTCTCGTCCTACCCTCCTACCGTCATCGCCTCCGTCCTCTCTTGTTGTTGCGCCTTCCCCCCTATCTGACTACCTTCGCGCCGCTCGTCCCTTGTTCCTCGGGTCCTTGCCTCTCGCGTTACCGACCCGTGTGTTCTGGTCTCGTGTCTCGATCTCTTTTCGTTGCGGTCGCTGACTTCGCCTCTACCCACCGTCTTGACTACGCCACCGCTCTGGTCTCTGACCCTGCCTGTCCTCCGTCTGTCAGGGGTGCTCCTGCCCTCGGCAGTGACGTCCTGGAGGACCACCAGTACGAGCTTGCATTCCTGTCCGAGGCTGCTCCCCATCTCTGTTCCATGCTGTTAGTCCCTGAGGGTGACCCAGACGCTTTCGATATCCCGACCCCTCGCACTTACGCTGAGGCGACCTCGGGACCTTGGGCCTCTCAGTGGATAGCTGCCATGGAGCAGGAGATGGCATCTTGGAGATCCACCGGCACCTACGTCGACGCAGTTCCTCCACCTGGGGTGAACGTAGTCGATGGCCTCTGGCACTTCAAGGTGAAGTGCCCTCCTGGAGAGCCGCCTGCGTTCAAGGCGCGCTACGTGGCTAGAGGCTTTAGTCAGGGTGAGGGGGTGGACTTCTTTCAGACTTTCGCCCCGACGCCGAAGATGACTACTCTTCGGGCACTGCTACACGTAGCAGCATAGCGTGACCACGAGTTACACTGGCGGAAAGTATTGCTCGGATAAAATCCACTTTTAGGTTCAAATAATGATGTGAATGCTTTTAACCGAGGTAACACTAAATCTTCGAAGCTGTGCTGTAAGTAACGAGTGCAAGTTGCATTGGGGTAACACCTTTGCGATTTGAAGGGGTCGCACTAATAGCGTGGACAAGATTTCAGTCGCGTGAGTGCATCCGGACAGTTTCGGCCTAGCAGCGGACTAGATCCGTTTTCGAGTACAGCATTCTCTCCATAGTCTCTCCGGCGACTTTCGATTAGTCAGGAAAGAGTTTATACCCAAGGCTTCGACTAGGCCGAGATGAGACCGATAGATGAGGCGCGTCGCGCACGGATCATAACTCTGTTGCGTAGGGGGTATAGCACGAGGCGAATCGCGAAGGAGCTTGGCGTGGGGAAAAGCACAGTACATGATCTTGGACTCAAGGCGATTTCAGAATATAGTCGCGAGGATGTGCGTCCTTCAATGCCCACTGCTGGTCGTCCACGCATAGTCACGAATAGAATTCGTCGTTGTATCGTCAGGGCGATTATTAGCGGCGAGGCGAAAACCTCGAGGCATGCGGCCCAGATCGTCGGATGAGATGAGGATCAGTAGGTTCTGCTCTGACGGCCGCGCGTACGCTTGGGTTCATGAAGGTACGACTCTCCAACACCACCAGATCAAGCAAACCGTCAAACATGGGGGCGGCAGCTTGATGATCTGGGGCTGTATGACGTATGAGGGGGCGGGTTTCATGTGCAAAATCGATGGTAGGATGGACGGGCCGCTGTATCTGAGCATTTTTGTAAGACGAGCTGAAGAATACCATCGACTTTTACACGCTAAACCCCTCGGATGTGATCTTCCAGCATGATAACGACCCCAAGCATAAGTCCCGTGTGGTGCAGCAGTGGCTTCAGCAGCAGGAGTTTGGGAGCCTGGAGTGGCTTGCAGGAAGTCCCGATCTGAACCCCATTGAGCATCTTTGGGCTCATCTTAAAAGGGAGCTGGCTAAGCATGAGAAACCTCCCACTCCTATGGTGGACCTGTGGGAGCGTGTACAAGAGAAATGGGAGAAGATCCTATCAGAGGTGTGCACCAGTTTGATCGACAGCATGCCCAGGAGGGTGAATGCAATGATTAAGGCGAAAGGGCAGTGGACCAGGTACTAGTTTAAGGGTTGATCAAGTTGCTGCCTCCGCCTGGAACTAATTCTCCGCTTTTTACTGTTAACGATAGTAGTTTCATCAAATGTGAAGCATTGTTTTGTGTCACTAGATTGGCCTGCATACAGTGGGTAAGGCCTCCAATTAAGGCTTAATGTACACATGCCCTTTAACGGCCGAAATTCTGAAAATTGCAAAACATGCGGACAATTCTTTCCGCCAGTGTACACTCCTTCGATTTCTCCACTGCGTTTCTTCAGGGCAGTCTACACGAGCAGGTCTACTGCGCCGCCCTCAGGGTTTCACTGGTACCTTCCCTCCTGGGACCCAGTGGCTTCTGCGGCGCCCAGTCTATGGTTTGCGTCATGCTCCTCGCAAGTGTCACGACACGCTGCGTGCTACTCTTGCAGACCTGCAGTTCTTTCCGTCTTCCGCAGACCCCTCGCTCTTTGTTCGTTCCGGCCAGACTCCGTTCTACATCCTTGTTTACGTAGACGATCTAGCTTTTGCCACTGCAGAAACCACCGCTGCTGAGCTGCTGAGGAGACACACCTGCACTGACCTAGGAGAGCTGCGCCACTACCTGGGCTTGCAGATCTCCAGAGACAGAGCAGCGCGCACCATCGCTCTCACCCAGTCACACTTGGTGCGCCAGGTCCTTCAGAGGTTCGGTCTTCAGTTCTCCTCCGCACGGCCCACACCTCTTCCAGTAGATTATAGGCTCTCTGCTCCAGTTCCTGAGGAGTCTGCAGAGCCTAGTGGTCCTTACGCAGAGCTGGTGGGTTGCCTCATGTACCTGATGACTTGCACTCGTCCAGATCTCGCATACCCTCTCAGCATCCTGGCTCGCTTTGTGGCCACAAGCAGACACAGACCTCAGCACTGGTCTGCAGCTAAGAGGGTTTTGCGTTATATCGCGAGTACATCAGGCATGGGGTTAGTGCTGGGAGGACGCAGGCCGGTGGTCCTTACTGGGCACACAGACGCTTCTTGGGCAGACGACGCAGAGACCCTTAGGTCCTCGCAGGGCCACTGCTTTAGCCTTGGTTCAGGTGCTGTCTCGTGGAGAGCTACTCGCTCCTCGTCTGTTGCCCAGTCTAGGTGTGAGGCCGAGATCTACGCCGGTGCCATGGCGGCACAGGAGCTCCGCTGGCTGACCTTCCTGCTCACTGACTCAGGTGAGCGGCCTAGCTCTGCACCAGTCCTGTACGCTGACAACAGGGCCATGATCCTCCTGTGTCAGGAGCCTCACCTTGAGGGCAGAGCAAAGCACATCCAGCTGCGGTACTTCCTCCTGCGCAAGCTGCAGCAGCGTCGCCAGGCTCACGTAGTACACTTGACCTCCGCTGGCAACACAGCTGATATCTTTATGAAGGCGCTTGCGCCTAAAGATCATCAGCGGCACTGTGTACAGCTAGGCCTTGTTCCTGTTACCTCTCACATGCTAGGGCCTTGATTATGTACTGACCTTTATATATACTGTTGTTTATTCTTGTCTGGCCTTGTGGCCTCTTCCAGTGGCTGGACTGGTAGTGCCGCCCTGGCCTTGCCCTTGTACTGGTCTGTACTTGTTTGACTGGTCTTTAGACCCTTGACTCAGAGGTTGGACTAGTAGTGCCGCCCAGAGTTATCGTTTCTCTCATCAGGAACTGCACCTATGCAGTCTAGGGGGTGTGTCAAACATATATATAGGTTATGTTTGTATAGACTGTATAGGTTTGTATCTTAGAGGGTACAACACTTAGGCTTATACCCTTGTATGTTTTTTCTCTCGACATTCAATCCTACGTTAAGATTTTCATACTATCCCAAGTATGGCCTGATGGTGTCCTCAGGACACCAGTGGGCCAGATTTAGGACAGACAATGATGGTGATGTGACGCTCCAGCACTGACGCTGCCGCATATGCGGTTGGAGAACCAAGAATGCGGCATGAAAGGAAGATGCAGCAGACAACAAGACGTGGTCGGTTTGGGCGGAGAGTAGATTCTGCCATGAAAAGCGGATTTCGGCATGGAACGTGGTGTGAAGAAAGGGTGGGTTGAGGTGGTCATGTCACATGCAAACAGTGAGGCTCTGTTTAAAGCACGCTTCGTTTATTCATAGATATTGACTTTAAACACGCCCATTTATGGATCATAATATGGCCTAAATTGCGCATGTTTCCTATTATTTAAATGCATTCGAAATCAAGACACATTCAAATAATGCGTGATGCAAACCAATTGTGTCTGCTTCCTTCCTTCACCCCATTTTGAGGAAGTGATTACCATTGTTTTTATAAAGCTTGACGCTCAATGCAGTCTTGTGGCGTGTCAGGAGCAAACCTAATAGAGGATGGAGACTTCCCGCCACTCATCTCTTTCCGAGGAGCAAATATATGAGGGCGTGGTTCTTGCGGGTCTGCTCGGCATTCAGATTCAGATTGTTTTACGGGAAACCCGTGTTCGCAAGCTTTTCGTCAGCAAACTACTGTTTCGTATCGGGTGCGAGCACGATGAAAGATCTCGTCAGAACATCTTGGCAGCAAAACGATCTGCGTGAACTGCGCCCTGAGGTTCAAGGTGCAAATGGGCTTGCAGCCACGAATTGGTCGAGAAAGGTGGGACCAACTTGAGGGAAGCGGATTGCCTAGGAATGCAGTCTAGACGGTCTGCGAGGAGGCCGCAGGACTCGTAGGCTTACTCCAGCTCTGAAGGGCGCGCTTTACGTGTTCAGTGATTACTAGTTCCCGAGTGACTGATAGTTTCGAACACTCGTTCAGAGGTGGAGAGAGGCCGAGAGCAATGGATCCGGTGGTGGTGGATTGCGGATCGGGCACGTTCAAGGCGGGCTACGCCAACCCTGACGCCGACCCCCCTGTGGTGAGTGCATCGCTAAGCGGGCGAGAAACTGAAGAAAAAAGGTTCCCGTGGTGCTGGGTTGCGGGACAGGCACGGTCAAGGCCGGCTATGCTCACCCTGACGTTGATGCCCCTGTGGTGAGTGCGTCTTGAGACTCACCTTAAGACTGGCACTGGCGCAATATTGACTCGAGGACTGAGAGCAATGGACCCCGTGGTGATGATTACGGGTCGAGGCGTCCCAAGGCGGGGTACGCCAACCCTGACGCTGACCCCCCTGCGGTGAGTGCATCTCGACGGTTGGATTCGAAAGAAATGGATCCGAAACTCATTGATTGCGGGTCAGGCACGTTCAAGGCGGGTTGAGCCAACCCTGCCGCTGGCCCTCCTGTGGTGAGTGCCTACCAGAACGGGTGAGAGACCCAAGAGAAATGGATCCGGTGGTGATGGATTGCGGGACAGGGACGTTCACAGCGAATTATGACATTCCTGACGCTGACCCGACGGTGGTGAGTCCACCTGGATACTTGAGCTCGAGAGAAATGGATTCTGGGGCTACGGATTGTGGGTCAGTCACGCAATGCTGGGTATGCCAGGCCTGAAGCCTATCTTCTGTGGTGATTGCAGCTTGAGACGCCCTTTATGGTTGAATTGACTCGAAAGAGACTCGAGAATCGGGTTCCGAGGTCACGGCTTCGAGTCAGGGGCGTTCAAGCCCCACCCCGAAGCTGGAAAATCACGGCCCCGGTGTAATTCGCAGGTGCAGTGTGACTAAAGTTCCGCCCCTGTGCGGTTTATTTCTCGGTATCTGCAGGCTAGGTCCCCCAGTGCTCCAAACTCAGCGCCGTTAACACCCGTGCCACTCTCAGTTGTCCCCATGCTACCTGTGCTTCTCGCAACCACTCATGCAACCTTGCGCACACGTGTGTGTTCCTGTGAGTGTCTCATCATCCGTACTTCTTTTTCCAGATTGTCCCCAACCGTTTCGTGGCAGCGCCAGGAGAGAGCCCAGCCACCAATCTTGAGTTCACTCAAAATGCATCTGTGTCTGTGTGCCATGTATGTGCTCGCGTCTGTGCCATGTGCGTGCACGCCTCTGTGCATGTGTGCCCATATCCAGATTGTCCCCAATCGTTTCGTGGCAGCGCCAGGAGAGAGCCCAGCCACCAATGGCGTGGGAGACAGCAACAGCGGTGAAGGAGGGGGGAGGGTGGTGGTGGGGGTGGAGCGCGGGCGGGTGGTGGACTGGGGAGTGATGGAGGACGCGTGGCGCTACATGCTTTACGAACAGATCGGGTGGGAGGAGGGCGGCGAAGGGGCCGTGCTGCTGTGTGAGCCCATCCTCACCCCCAGAGTAGGTTTCCGTACTCAGGCGAGCCAACTTGTGTAGAGTTGTTGAAGGATATGATCACCCTTGGAGTGATGGAGGACGCATGGCGCTACATGCTGTACGAACAGATCGGGTGGGAGGGTGGGGGGAAGGGGCCGTGCTGTGCTGCTGTGTTGTGTGAACCCATTCTCACCCCCAGGGTAAGTCACACTCATGTGTAGGAATACGTCTTGGCAGTCGGAGGGAGGCAAAAGAGGGCGACGAAGGGGCTGTGCTGCTGTGTGAGCCCATCCTCACCCCCAGAGTGAGTCACACTCATGGGTGAGATGTTCAGCTGGCTCAAAGGTGCCTCCCGCTTTTCGCCTTGTAGCGGAGCAGCCCGTCCTTCCCATTGCACTCCTCCATCTCTCCGCTCCTTCCCCCTTTCTCCTCTCCCTCCCTCCCTCCCTCCCTCCCTCCGGCCTCCCTCGCCCCCTCCCTCCGGCCTCCCTCCCCCCCTCCCTCCCTCGCTCCCTCCCTCCGGCCTCCCTCCCTCCCTCCCTCCCATCTCTGTCAGGCCGACAGGGAGCAAGCAGCGCAGATCCTCTTTGAGTCGTTCAGCTGCGGGGGCCTCTTTGCAGCGGAGCAGCCAGTGCGTTCCTCGTTCGACTCCTCCATCCCCTCGCCCGTTCCCCCTCTCCTCCTTTCCTCCCTTCTCTGCCGCCCTTCCCAGGCCGACAGGGAGCAGGCAGCCCAAATCCTTTCCGAGTCCTTCAGCTGCACGGGCTTCTCTGCAGCGGAGCAGCCAGTGCTCTCTTCTCCCTTCCCTTTTCTCCCTTCCTTACCAGGCCGACAGGGAGCAAGCAGCGCAGATTCTTTTCGAGTCCTTCAGCTGCGCGGGCTTCTTTGCAGCGGAGCAGCCAGTGCTGGCGCTCTATGCTCTCGGGCGCCTCTCCGGCTGCTGTGTGGACCTGGGCCATGGCAAGACAGGTGAAGGGGGGGCTGATCCAACGCCTTATAACGCGGATGCATGCCTTATATTGCGGATGCCTGCCTTATAACGTGGTTTCCTGGCTTATAACGCGGATGCCTGCCTTATAACGGGCTTCCCAGTCCCCCACATATCTCCGCCCCTTGTGTCCCTCCAACATTTCCTTCCCGCCTGGCCCTCCTTCCCGCCACAGCCACCCATCCAGCCGTTCTCCTCTCCCAGACTCCTCAGTTGAGCAAGAAGGACACCTAGTCCCTTCCTCTGCTTGGTGCTGGCCAATTCACATGATTGAATTCTGTTCCTCCCCCAATATGTCCTTGTATTAAGTAGGTGGCATGGTACAGGCATGGCAGCTGAGAGAGAGAAACAGAAAACAAAAACAAAAACAGGCAGCATCAAACGCCTAGCTCTCTAGACCACGGCGACCCTAAGGGTCGCCCAGGTCGGGCACGAGGACCTGGAGCAGGTCGCCCAAGGGGAGGGGCTCCGCGGGGAAGCCCAGCGGGCTTCCCTCAGCCGCCAGGGCCTGGTTGATTTTCGTGTTGAGGGCGACGGCCTGCCCGCGCTGCAAAGTCACCAACCAACGTTGGTGGTACTCGTGGAACAGCTTGGCGGCCTCGCGTGAGGTAGGTGCAGCGTCGTACCGATGCTTCGCGGCCAGCTCGGCACAGGCGCGGAGAAGGTGGAAAACCCCCGGGGAGGTGAGTCCGTAGGTCTCGGCAGCCAAGGCGTAGAAACCGACCCACTCGGGGCGGGCCGGCAGGCGATACTTGCGCTCTTTCCCGCGGGCAGTGATTCGGACCGCCCACCCAGTACCGCGGCGGGCATGCTCGCCCTCCTTTGAGATGCGGTCGGTGACGGTCAGGTCACAGATCCAAACCGCCCCCAAGTCTGGGTGCCGGATGGCCACGTCCGCCCGGAGGTTCGTGACGCGGGTGAAGAGGTTGGTCTCGGTGCGATCCGCGCGCACTCGTCGCGGAGGGCGTGGTGCATGCCGGTACGTCCTGGGCCCGTGTCGCACCGTAGAAGGTGGTTGGGGAGTCGGGGGTCTTGAATGTTGACACGCCGCCAGCAGTCACAGCGTCCCGGCGTAGCGTGCGGAAGGCCGAGGCGGACGGCGACGGCTGTGGAGAAGTGTCTGGGGAAGAGGCACAGGGAGGGGGAGAGGGCGAGGGCGTGGAGCCAATCCCCCGCCCCCGGGCCCATAAGGGAGAGGAGGCGTTGGGTATGCCCCTAGAGCGGGTTCAGGGGCAGCTGGCGAGCTTCTTGCAGGAGCGTGGTGAAGCGCTCCACCTGGACCTGCAGAGCCAAAGCCCGCTGTAGCTTGGGTGGGTCGGGGGAAGCCCGCTCTTCCCGAAACAGCTCAGCAGCAGCGTCCGGGAGGGCGGCTTCCAGCGCGGCCAGCCGACGCGGCAGAGGGGATGGAGCGCCAGGGTCGGGGTCGAAAAGGGGCAGGAGCTGTCCCAGTGTAGCGGGGAGGGTTGGAAGGAGGCCACTGAGCAAGTGCGCAACAGCCGCCGTGGAGGCGAGATATCCCGCTCCTGCCTCTGCAGCCGGGTTGCAGATCCCAAGCCCGCCAAGGGTGGTTGGGATGGAGGCTTGCGCCCATACCTGCCGCTTCTCGAGTCTGGCGCGGGGGAGCAGCAGGCGGCAGGCAGCCAGCGCCGCGTGGAAGAGCCACTCGCCCCAGGCATCCCACTCCGCCTGGGGGAGGCACTCCGGGGGGGTCGAGCGGAGCAAGTAACTGGCGCGGTGGGCGAGGCCGCGGGTGAGGAGGAGAAGGGCGATCTGGGGATCCAGCTCCGCGATCAGTGGCAGTGGGGCGGCGGCGGTGTCGAGGCGGTCGCGGATGGCAGCAGTGCAGGCGTCCCCCGGCCCCACGGGACTGCCGAGGACGCGCAGGCATGTGGTGCTGGCGGAAACGCCAGGCGGTAGCGTCTCTGGCGGCACACCCTGTGGGCCCCAGGCTGCACACTTCGCTGGGTTGTGACGGAGGCCACAGCCACCAATGGCGGTGGTGAGGTGGGCGAAGGCAGCAGAGCACGCTGCAGGCGGACCCAGGAGCGTGACATCGTCCGCGTAGGCGAGGACAAGTACGTCGGGGAAGGCTGCGGCATTTTCCTTGAGCGCGGGGTGCAACCCCGCCGCAAACAGCAGGGGACCCATAGGGTCCCCTTGGCGGACCCCACGGGCGCTGGCGAGGAGGGGGGAGCCAAAACTGTGGTCGACATGGAGGCCGGAGGGGCCACCATACGAGAGCCGCACGAAAGGGACGAGGAACTCCAAGGGCGTTCCTCGGAGCCCCACAAAGATGGCGGCGCGTTCAATCGTGTTGAACGCGTTTGAAACGTCGATTCGTAGAGCAATATGTCCCGAGTTGATGTCAAGATAGGCGCGGGTGATGTGGATTATCACTTCCGCGCCGCTGGGGATGGCGACTCCGAACTGAATGAGGGTGAAGTGGAGCTGGGCAGGCCGCGTGGCGAGGTGTAGCGCTGCTTTGGCGATCAGACGGTGGAGGCACTCGCCAACAGCTATGGGCCGAGTGCCGCCTCCTGGCTTTGTGAAGGCAAGGAGGCGCGAAGAGGTGAGCAGCGCGGAGGCCTCGGGGCAGAGGGCACCAGCGAGGGCCGCGTTCGTGAGGGCTAGGAGGTGTCCACAGATGTCGGAGTTGTGGAGCGCCGCGTCGCGCAGGGTTTCGAAGGACGTCCCTGAGGGGCCAGTTCCTACGGCATTAAGTAGCTGGCTGATGATGTGGCGGAATGACTTAGCTTAGATATTTAGCTTACGCTCGAGGGCGTGTGAGTGAACCCACTCTGGGATGTCAAGAGAGGCAGGTGGGTGGCGAGAATGGAGCGCAGAAAGCGTTTCGGCGGTAGATGGGCTGACCGGGGTGGCTTCCAGCGCTTGAAGGGCTTTTCCAAGGTTCCCCCGCTTAGCTAAGCCTGTGACACGAGACAAAATCCCAGTCCTGTCAGGCATGTGGCGCTGGGGGGGAGGGAGAGTGAGGGCGGCAACAGCTTCGGCGTAAAGATCTGCCCAGGAACCCCGGCGAAATGAGTCCAAACGACGCTCGACTAAGGGCCAATCAAGCTTGCGGGTAGTGCCAACGCGGAGGGTAAGGCGGGCAAGAAATATCAGAAGGTGCCAGGCTGGCACTGAGTCCGGGTCCTTGGCCAATCGGAGGAGCGGGGTCAGCAGACAGCTGGCGAATTGGTCCCGAATGGGGCGGGGTGGGTGTCGGGCTCCCAGTCACAGACTCGGAGTTCCCCTCGGAAGAAGGGGAATATCTGGAGTCACCCGATCCCTCCTCGCCATTCCCAGCACCTGCGCCTTCTCCACCAGCAGCCACCTCCCTTAGTCTGATCTCAGCACTGCTGGGGCTCTCTGCCCTGGCCGCCGCCCCCGAGTTAACAGTCGTGTCAGCCAATATGAACAGCCTGGACGAACGTGCCGCCTGCACCTCCCCGAGCTATACTCCTCCCCGCTCCCCGCCGTCCTCGTCCGCGATCCCCCGGCGTCGACACGGCGGTAGCCATCGACGGCCGTCGAACACGCGCCTGCGGGGTCCACCAGCGTACGCCTCCCCGCGATGGCGTCGTCTCGGTCATATGGGCAAGGGCGATCCCCGGAGCGGCTGTACGATCGGCGGGGGGGTGATCGCTGGCCCGCGCAGTCCCCGAAGCCGCGCTACCGCTCGCGGACGCCCGAGTGGCGGAGCCCGCCCTGACGTCTGCCGGTGTGGGATACACGTCGGCGCGGGCCGCGGAGGCCGTCGCGCCCCCCGCAGCGTGGCCCGCAGATGCAGCGAGGGGGCTCAGCCGCTTGGTCCCTGAGCGTCGTCGAATCGCTCGGGTGCTTGCCCGCGTGCCTGCGGTGATCCGGGCATTGGCAACGCCGGCTGCCCCAGCACCAGTGCTGGTGGCTCCCGCAGCTCCCCCGCCCGCGGCTTTCGTGACTCCTCCGCCAGCGGCGGTGGCGGCGCCGGCGCAGCTTCCCCCTGTGGTCGCCGCAGGGGGCCCCAGTCCCTGGGATCCTGTGTTGAGTGGAACCCCCCTGGGTCCCAGGGCCATGGGGGACTCCTCCAGTGATGCAGACGCCGTTGCCGCCAGCGGCGATTCCTCCGCCTCCGTCGCCGCCGCCTCCTCCCAGCGTCCAGCCACTTGCGGCACCAGCAACGCTCCCAGCGAGGCAGGCTCCACCTCCTCAGGAAGTGGGGCAGGAGGGGGGGGGTACCAGCGGGCAGGGGGAGAACGGTGGGTGGGAGGACCACTCTGGTCTGACGGCAGGTGGGCACGGGCGCAAGCGTCAGCGGACGGGGGATTTTCCACCGGGCCACGCGATGAGCGGGCAGCCCGCGACGAAGGCAGCGGTCCGGGCAGCGGCAGAGGACACGATGCGGCGTCTGGACTCAGCCAGGGACTGCCTCGCGCGTTCGACGACGGTGGTAGAGGTGTCGAGGTACGCGCTCGGCTGCGCTGACCAGGAAGGGCTGCTGTCGGAGAGGCTGGCGGTAGCGTGCGCGACGCAGGCGGTAGCGTGCGCGACGCAGACGGCAGTGGCGAGGGCGGCATTGACCGACGCGTGGCCCGGGCTCGCTCAGGGAATACCGCTGCCGGTGGGGCCCGCCGTCGTCCTGGCGGATCTGGAGGGCAAGCTGGAAGGGGCGCAAGCTGTAGAAGTGATCGAAGGCGCCATGTCAGTATTCCGGGAGCTGGAGCGCGCCGTGTATTGTCTGCTGAAGGATCTCCGCGCATCGAGGTAGCGGGAGATCGATTAAAGGGGCTCTGTTCCTTCCCCCCCCGCCCCGACACGCATTTCCGTCCCTTGGTTCCCCCTCGAGTGGAGTCATTTTTTAGAATTCTCAAAAATGGTTCCCCCTCGAACCTCCCCTTCCTCCCTTTCCTGATTTCTCAGGAGTGTTGAAAGGATCCTAGTACCTTCCTCTGCTTGCTGGCTATTAACCCACTTGGTCAACGTTTCCTTTAATCCTCTCCTTCTGCCCAGCCCCACCCCCCACCCCCTCCCTTTTCCCCCTTCAACCTCCCCCCTCTCCCAGATTTCTTCGTAGTGCAAGATGGATCCTTGGTCCCTTCCTCTGCTCGTCATCATAATTTCGTTTTCCCCTTTCGTTCCCACCGCTCTCACACACGTCCGCCCCTTCTCCCCGTTTTCCTCTTCAACCTCCCCTTTCCCCCTTTTCCAGATTTCTCAGTAGTGCAAGAAGGATCATCGGTACCTTCCTGTGCTCGGCTTTTAAAAGCCTTTTCCCCCCCGCACCCCTTGCTTTCCTCCTTCAACCTCCCCTTTCCCCCTTTACCAGATTTCTCGGTAGTGCAAGAAGGAGCCTTGGTCCCTTCTTCTGCTCGTCGCTGGCCGATAGGCGGCTCCGATCTCTCGGAGCGAATCCAACGGCTGGTATTGGAGGAGAGGCAGAGAGGGGGAGGGGCAGAAAGGGGAGAGGGAGAGGAGGAGAGGGGTTTGTTGACAGGTGGCGGCCTCTCATTGGACGCTGTTGCCCTGGAGAGGCTCAAGGAGGAGGCATGTGAGGCGGCGTTGGATGAAAATAGTTTTGCAGCTGCCCGGGCTGTGGAGGAGAGGAAAGAGTTCGTGCTGCCTGACGGGCAGGTGAGCTTTTTCTGTAGGCTCGGTCGGGCTTGTTATAGTTTATACCACAGGCACAATGTGAGTTGACTTAAAAAGCACAGGCACAATGTTTGTCACCTCATTTCTCACACCCTCATTTCTCCACCAGCTCCCTCTCCCCTCCCCCCCCCCCACAGGCCCTCTCCCCCACCACTATGTCGCGTGCTTGTATCCATCTCATTGCATCTCACTTGGGACATACCGCTGGGACATTGCAGAAGCCCCATTCAGACTCTCCCTTCTCACATACACTCTCCTCTCTCTCCTTTCTCCTTTATCTCAGGTCATCTCTCTTGGACCGGAGTGCTTTGACATTGCAGAGGCCCTCTTTAGACCCTCCATTCTCACATTCGCCTCTCTCTCCCGATCCCTCCCTCCCCCTCTCAGCGCATCTCTCTTGGGCCGGAGCGCTGGGACATTGCAGAAGCGCTCTTCCGACCCTCCCTTCTCACCCATTCGCCTCTCTCACCACCTTCCCTTGAGGCCTCCTCATTGGCCGGGCCCGATTCGGCCGGCATCGTTCGGCAGCTTCTGAGTGTGGTGATGGACGGAGCAGGGCTAGGAGGGGGCGGAGGAGGGGGTGGAGCGTTGGGGGGAGGGATGGGAGGGGTGGGCGGGGGAGGAGGGTTGGGAGGGGGAGCAGGGGGGATGGGGCTGGAAGGGGGGAAGCAGCGAGCAGCGTTGGAATCGATCGCTGTGGTGGGGGGAGGGTCGAGCCTGAAGGGGCTGCTGGATCGGTTTCAGAGTGAAGTGCAAATGGCGCTGCCTCCCTCTCTGCAACCTACCGTCGTGAGGGTGAGTGGGTTGCATAGGTGAGACAGGTTGGTGAGTGGGATGTGGCATTGGAGTCGATTGCAGTGGTGGGAGGCGGGTCGTGCCTGAAGGGGCTGCTGGACCGGTTTCAGAACGAAGTGCACATGGCGCTACCTCCTTCCCTGCAACCTACCGTCATGAGGGTGAGTGGAAGCTGGGTGTGCGCGTTGCTCCTGTGGGCTACTGTGTGTCCAAGGGGCTACTGGATCTGTTGCAGCGTGAAGATTCTAAGGGTAACGATGCCTCATAGTGAAGACTCAGTGGTAACGATGTCCCCAAGGTGCTACTGGATCGGTCTGAATTGGTCACGGACGGAGGTTTCTCCTCCTCTACAACTTATTGTTTTGAGGGTGAGTGAGGTGAATGGGATGAGCGGGGAGCTTGGGGTGAGTGGGGTGAGTGGGTGAGGCTCTGGGGTCAGTCGCTGTGGTGAGGTGGTGGGGTGGGGTGGGGTGGGTGGAAGATGGCTGTCTGGTACATTGCCCACAGTGGCTGTCTACTGTCGTGCAACCCACGGTCGTGAGGGTGAGTGGTTTGAGAGCCCAGGCAATGTCTCCTCTCTCCTTCTCTGCAACTTTCTGTGGTGAGGGTGCGTGGGGTGGGTGCGTGATTTGAGAACCCATACAACTGATACGTTGCCGAATGTTGCTGTTGGATCGGTTTCAGAGTGCGAAGTGAAGTGCAGATGGCGCTGTGTGCTTTCCTGCAGCCCACTGTCGTGAGGGGGAGTGGGGTGAGTGATTTGAGAACCAACTAGTACATTGCCCAATGTGCCTGTTGGCACTGAAGTGAAGTGCAGATGGCGCTGTGTGCTTTCCTGCAACCCACTGTCGTGAGGGAGAGTAGATTAAAGAGGATGAGTTTGGAGGGTGAAAACCAAACGTCGGATCTCACCGCCCGTTGTGCATCAAGGTAAGGTGGTAGCACCTCGCAATTATGATATACTGCATTGAACGTGCCTGACTCACTAAGTTAGCCAGCGCATTCCAAACTTACATGGGCTTTTCCTCTTAGCATGGCACTGGCGCCCAGCAGCACTGGCGGCAGTGCTGTTGGCAACGGAGCCAGCAGCTGAGAAAGGGCGACACTGGTGAGTGCTGGCACCACACTGAGCATCCCTGCTCCTGCTATGCGAACCGGTCCCGGCTGTAGCACGCGTAGTGGCAGCAGCTGTAGCGCCAATGGCAGCAGCAGATATTGTAGTGCGAGTGGTATTGCCAAGTGGAGTGGCACGAGTTGCACGCGCGGCGTCTTACTGCGCGTGCAACTCGTGCCACTTCACTTGGCAATACAACTCGTCCTACAATCCCTGCTGCTGCCACTACGCGTGCTACAGCCGGGACCGGTTTGCATAGCAGGAGTTGTGATGCGGTGTGGTGCAAGCATTCACCAGTGTCGCCCTTTCTCAGCTGCTGGCTCCGTTACCAACAGCACTGCCTCCCGTGAGCGCTCTTCACTGGCCATGCCAAGGGGGAAAGACCCATGTAAGTCTGGAATGTGCTGGTTAACATGGTGATGCTGATGTCACTCCCTCTTTTCGTCCGCTTTTTCCCCAACCCCCAGGCACCTGAATACATGCCGGACAACACCGCCCGCTATGCTGCATGGTACGGCGGCGCCATCGTGGCTCGCATTGTGTTCTCTCAGAACCAACACGTAACTCGTGCCGAGTACAACGAGAGGGGGCCTGCAGCCGTGCACCGGAAGAGCATGTGATGTGACTGTAGGAAGATGTGACAGTAGGAGAATGTGACAGCAGGAGGATGTGACCGTAGGCGCATGTAAACGTGAGCGGATGTCCGTATAGGAGTAGTATGGTGTGGAGGGGCCATAGTGTGAACTCTGCTCACAATGTGAGCTCACATTCACACTGTGTTTTCTCAGAATCAACACGCCACACGCGCAGCTGAGCCAAACAAGAGGTCACACTTTATTCACACGCTGTTTTTACTGCTCCAAACGGACCCTACGTATATACGCAGCCCAATCACTTAATACAACTAGAGTTCCCATCCCATCCCACTCCACTTCAGGAGGGTACAGGAATGTTAGCAAAGGCTCCATTCTAGAACGGTTACCTGTATTCCGTCGAGCTTTTCAAATACGTGCCCAATTTTTCATGCGGACCCTAGTGAAACCGCTCCCTTTTTTGGGATCAGGCGAGCGTGCAGTATGTCTACATATATTTGTATATGTTTATAGGCTAGCTAGGTGCATGCCCATAGAAAGTACAACACCTAGCACAAAACTACCCTATACCGTCTTTTCTAGTCTATTCTGCTACTCTGAGATGGTATCAGCTAGGTTAGGTCCGCCCACCAACTTCCACCCCAGCCTACCTCGCCTGCCCTAGCTGCTCTAGCCGCCCTAGCCCGCCCTAGCCGCGGTAGCTCGTCCTAGCCGCAGTAGCTCGCTGGCCCCGCGCTCGTTGGCCCCTCACTCGCTGGCCCCGCACCCGCTGGCAGTGGTGATTTTATCAGACTGTTTTAGTCAGATTGTCTGAAATTTCAGACCCATTTTTTGGCCACTCCTGATTTTTCAGACTTTGGTTTTTCTGGATGCTGAACCCTTCAGAGTTGTATAATTTTGGATCCTGAGGTTTTCAGACTAGTCGTTGTGCGGATACTGAGTTTTCAGAGTACATCGCGTATGGACTCTGAATGCGACATACATGCACGTTGTACTTTCCACGAGATTTCCTCTACTACGCCATCTGCTGCCTGCCATCATTTCACCCCCGCACGTGTCACGTGAAGTATCTGCACTTGGCAGGATTCCCGCCCCTTGTGTGACTGTGATGCTGCCCTCAATAGGGACTTAGCCGCTCAGCGTGTCATGCATCCTGCCACGCGTGCCTGCTAAGTGTTGTGATATGATTCATACTTAGCATTTATGTAAGTAAGTTATCGATAGATAGTGTCGAATCCTACTGTAGAAGATAAGTCCGTAGGATGACGTCAACAAATAGCGCCCGTCATGAGGACAGTCGTTTCAGTCACGCGAACAGTCGCGTCTCTTCAGTGTCATTTAGGGCGCATAGCGCGATAGTGTGAACAGGTACATTAGCGAACAGGTACTTCTGTTAGATATAAAAGTAGCCTGTCTTCATTGTTTAGTTAAGTTGATTGTGAACTTGATCTTAATTTGTTCTTCAGTAAATTCTGGTCATTACTTTACAAGTTCTAAGACTTCCGCTGTCTTACTAGTCTACCATTCCAGTAAAGATCATAGGCTAACACTTGAGGTTTTCCAAGTGTTCATGTTTGCAGATTCTAAACTTAGTCTCCTGCAACACCTGTCAAATTATTACATGGTATGAGAGCTGTCTGGAATTAAGACTACTGTCAACAATGACTAGAACAACACCAGCACAATCTACCGGATCTAGTTCCGGAATTACTGGAGTACCTGTCTCCTCGACTGCCACTGGTCTCTCACCCTCTGGATCGTTTCCACCGGCTTATGCGCACATCAGTATGCAGCAGCAGCAGCAAAATCCTTTTTCTGTTAGTACTCCAGGGATTTCATCGACTGCCCTGCAGCGCAACAACAGCAAACACAGGCAACAGCACAACAACAGGCAACAACACAGCAGTTTTCAACTCAGTCAATATCATTAGCGTTTAGTGGAATGAGCCTTGACGGCTCAAGTTACATGCGTGGAGCTCCAGCTCCAAGTACTAGCTCATTTGCATTCTCACCCTTTACGCAGCAGCCGCACTCTCAGCAGCAGCAGCCCTTTTACATCTTCAGGCGTTCACCTGCTCAGCAACAACAACAGCAACAGCAACAGCAACATCAGCAACAGCAGCAACATCCACAGCAATTTCAACAACAGCAACAGCCTCAACAACAGGGTATTGTTTTTCAGCCGCCGAATTTACTTAGCAGCACACAGATCAAGACCACAACGGAGTTGATTTTTACTCCTAGAGCTTCGAGTTTGAACTTCTGGCGCAGTCTGCCGAGCTATGGCCGTTCTTCACCGGCGAGTTCACATATCCTGTTATGGGAACACAACTGGAGTAGCAGAGTTTCTTGCACGCTTCTCTCGGGGCGTATACGGTTCTCGTTCGAAACTTTTCGGCAAAGGAGCAGCTCAGCGTTCGATCTTTTCATTCCAGCTTTATGCCAACTAAAACTGCATGGAACCACTTAAAGGGGGTGTACATGGCAAAGGATACAATCACAGTGAGTAAGATTCTTTCGCAGCTGACAAATGTGCAGATGATGACCAACGAGAATGTCATGGATTATGTCAATCGTGTCCGCACACTACGAGATCAATTGGAGAAGAGTGGTGGATACTTCCCTCGTGAGATGTATCTCACGGTCCCTCTTGCTGGACTTGGTCCCGAGTGGCGACAGACGCGCGCATTCTTGTGCATGAATCCGAATCTCTCCGAAGCCGAGATTTCCTCATATCTTCAAGCAGAACAGCAAGATCTTGACCTGCAGTCACAACGCAATCAGAAAAAGGGGATACACTTAAGTTTTTACTCAAATCCAGAGCCGCAGCAACGGCTTCCCCCGAAATATCCCTTATGTCATTTCTGCAAGAAACTAAGACATACTTACCAAACTTGTCGCAGTCGACATCAAAACCGTCACAGTACTTCACAACCATATCATCGATCGCAGCAGTTACCGAAGTCACATCCGCCAACGCAGCAGTCGACGTCACAGACGCAGCAGATGCATAAACCACCGCAGAATACACCTTCATCACAGCATCGCCCTCCGGTTTTTCCATCTGCAACACCAGGAAAAGGAGTTTTTGGATGTGTTACGACAGTTGATGTTTCAGATACCGATTTCGAGACACAACTTGAAGAAACCACCAGTGCAAAGGGCATTCCCTTACCACAAGTTTATGCTAATCTTGCTCGAGTCATTTCAAGACCCAATACTTGGTATCTCGACAGCTGTTGTGGTTGGCATATGTGCTCCGCTGAAACAAGCTTCATCACCAATCAGCGTCCACTTCGATGTCCGATACCTGTCACAGTTGCAAACGGACAAACTATCATGGCCAGATCTATCGGAAGTGTAATGCTCGAGTCCGTCGACACGGGCTATTCCTTACATGTTACCAACTTCCTTATCATCGCCGACCTTGGTTTCAATCTTCTCTCCACAGCTCAGCTCCTAGCACACAAGATTCGCACACAAGGCAATTGTGATACAATGGACCAAGAATTATGGCACAGTTTGACGAACACTTACCTCGGTCGCGCTGCTACTCAACATGGTGTATCCATTCTTCAGTTCACGGCACAGGGCACCTCGCGCGATTCTGAACGCGTCCTCGCTCTCGGTCCCTGGGATCATCCCGACGAAACAGATTATCAACAAGTTGATATTGATTTTCGTGCAACTACTGTACCCACGACTTCTCGAACTGCAGCTGCCGTTCTGACCACTCTTGATACTTGGGATTTCAATACCGCCGATGAAGGCGCTAACGCTTGGCGAACGTTTTATAACACTCGCGTCGCCTTCCAAGGAACTCCAGCTCCACTTTGGGGAGAAATCAGTGGACTTGCAGCTGATGAACCCGAAGTCGTCGAGGAAGACGCGAAAGCAGAAGTCGCCGAGCAGCCTAGTCTTCCGGTATATTGCAGGACCATCTGCCACCACATCAACAAAAGCAGAATCAGATGTTGCAATTACAACTGCATCAGAACCGTCAAACGTTCAGTTATCACTTACTCGTTTCGTGGAAGGGGAGATCGACATGTCTCCAGCTCTTTCTCTTTTCATCGTTTCTTCATTTTATACTAACGCCGATTTCTATCTGCGATCATCAAGACACAGCCACAGTGGACATTTGGCATCAACGGTTAGGACATCCATCGCAAGGGATTCTAAATCATTCCATTCGAGCAACAGTTCTTGATAAAAACAGTCTTCTCTTACCTGACGGCACGGAGATGAAACCACAGTCTCGCCCAACAGTTTGCACCACGTGTCCGATCGCCAATCTTATCCACGACCCGTTTCCGAGTCATTTTCCTGGCTCCACTCATTACAAACTGCTGCAGAAAGTCTACAGTGACATTCTCAACTTACCTGAAGCAGGACCTAAAGAGGAACCGTACGTGATTACCTTTATCGAAGCAAGTACTCGCTACGTTTGGATAGCCAACCTTCATGCTCGATATCTCGCCCATTCGGTCTTCGTCGCATGGTACTGATAGGCTCTAGTCGGTAGACGTAGCCCGTTCTGGAGCGACGATTCTCCCTATCTCCCACGTGGTCGGCGTCGACATAGCCGAGTAGTTGTACGGACGATGGCGTTGCTTTGCTGTAGGTAAGTCCGATCGTCGACGTAGAGACGAAGTAGAGTAGTGTCCGATTCAGCTCCTCGAGATCCTCTTGTTCCAGCTGCTTTAGGTGTGTCGCCAGTTGGCTCACGCTGTAGGACACGTCCGGTCGGCAAGTTACTGGTGCGAATAGTAGACAGCCGAGCTTCTGTTGATATTCCTGGATTTGCTTTGCGGGGAGTTTTGCGGAGGTGTTGCTGTTGTTCCCGTCGCGATAGGGAGTCGCGACTGCGACCGGCGTTAGTCCGAAATTTTTCGCGACAACGCCTCCGTACTTTCCGGCGTGTAGGTAGAACGCCGATTCGTCTTCGACGACGTTCAGACCTAGGTACTCGCTCACGGTGTCAGACACCGTCAGTGTTAAGTCACTCCTCAGCTCCCCTTCGAACCAGGTGGCGACGTCGGTAGTGGAGCCGACGTAGAGTAGGTCATCGACGTAGACGATGATTAGGACAAAGTCCCCCCCCTTTTGTAGTCGGTACATGCCTTGATCGTGCGGCAGCTGCAGAAAACCGATCCTGACGAGGCGGCCGTGAAGGTGCTGCTGCAAGAGCCGCGGGGCTTGTTTAATTCCGTAGAGGGATTTTACCAGTTGGCATACTTTTGTGAGATCGTCGATGAATCCGTGGGGCTGCTCGACGAAGATTTTGGCGTCCACAAGTGCGTACAGGAAGGCGTTGGCGACATCGATCTGGCGCAGTGGTAGCTTTTTCGTGGCCGCGACGGTGAGCAGAATGCGCAGGGAAGTATGTCGGGAGACTGGGGCGAATGTCTCCATGTAGTCGGTTCCGTATCGCTGGTCAAATCCTCGTACGACCCAGCGAGCCTTGAAGCGGTCGATGGAGCCATCCGCATTAGTCTTGATGCGGTACACCCATTTCCCCGAGAGCACATTCTTCCCGTTGGTTTTTGTTGCAGGTACCAGCTTCCACGTATGTCGGTCTTGCAGTGCCTTCAGTTCCTTTTCCATTGCTTCCTTCCATTTCGCCTTGTGTTCCCCCCCTAGAGCCTGCGACAGAGTCGCTGGCTCGCGCGGTGACGGCGGCGGCGGGCTCTGGACAGCGACCCATAGTCCAAGTATCTGTAGGCCCGTGGGTGTGTGTCGAGGGGAATTGTCATTCTCGGGATAAGCTGCTTCGTCTCCGTCCTCTGGGTCAGGTAAGAAGTTAGGTCCGATGCGTTCGGAGATATTGGTGTCGACCAGTTGAGGTGTGGTGTAACCTTGGTCAGCGATGTGGTAATAAGTGTCGAGGTTGTTACTATCGAGAGGATTGTCGTCGTTGAGTGAAACGGGCACGGAGCAGTAAGGCAGTGGTCCGGCAGCTTCAGAGGCTTCAAGTACGTCTTCTTCTGCTGCGTCAGCTTTGGCAGCACGGTCGGCAAAGGACCGATGGCCTTCGAAGCCGTCGGTGGGGTCTTCTGTATTGGCGACGTTGTCCAGGTAATGCTGCAGTGTCAGTCGCTCGTAGAAAATCACATCACGTGAGGCCTCGGTGCTTTTGTCCTGAATGTCGAGAAGTTTCCATGCCTGGAAATGTTTGGCGATGCCGAGGTGTAGTCCCCACCGTGCTCGTTGAGAGAATCGTCCTGCTCGCGCTGTGTGGGGTCTGTACTGTACCATGCAGCCGAGAACTCGAAGTAATTTTGTGCTGCCCTGTTTTCCTGTCCACAGCAGGTGCGGTGATGCGTTGTTGGGAAGTGACGTCGAGGACAGCAAATTGTGAACGTGGACTGCATGCGTCATCGCGTCAGGCCATTGTGTGTTGGGCAGTCGCATCCCCAGGAGCAGCTTTCACATCGTCGACTGCAAAGTCCGGTTCATCCTCTCTGCGACCCCCTACTGCCGATGAGCGTAGGGCAGAGACACCAGGCGGCTGATGCCTCTTTCTGCCAGATGGCTCTTGAACCTTTGTGACTGGTACTCCAGTGCTCCGTCTGACTAGAAGCTTTTGAGTTGAGAGCCCGATTCTCGTTCAGCGATGGGGAGCCACGTTGTGAAGGCTTCGAATGCTTGATCTCGTGTCTTGAGGTTGTAGTGCCAAACGTATCGTGTTGCTGCGTCGATGAACGTGATGACATAGTTGTGCTCTGCTTCACTGTCATCTCGAGGCATATTTAGAATGTCGATGTAAACTTTTTCCATCGGTGCGTATGCAGGTGCACTTGGATTGTGGTGCGACGGGAAGGGTTGGTGGGGAAGATCAGCTTCAGGACACGTGAAGCACTGTGCGTGGGCTTGTGGAAGCTCCTGGCCACTCGTTGTAAGAAGAGCGTCCTTTTCTAATACTCCGGCTTGTATGGTCTGTAGTACTGTGCTATTTGCAGGGTGTCCGAGGCGTTGATGCCAGATGTCGTCGGGAGCGCGATGGCCCGGTGAGCGCTGGTACACGTCGGCGTTGGAGAAGAACGCGAAGACCGTGGCGGGACTGCGGCAGACTTCTCGGGTGATGGGCATGAGTTGATCTGCTTTGGATGGCGGTCCTCGGATTGCTGGTGGCGGCGTGCGGCTGGGTCCTGCTGCTGCTTCTGCTGGTAATCCCGGGTGAGGGACACTTGTTGGTACTTGTCGTTCTTGTCGGATGTCTGCTAATGCTCGTGTTCTTTTTGCTGCAGGGATGGTGTTGGAGTACCAGAATCCGTCTGGAGTAAAGTCGGGGTCAAGGTCCGGCGAGTGCGTCCAAGCAGCGAACGACACGATGCCATCGCTATCGGCAGTTCCGCGGTCGGGGACGAAGTCCAGCACGAAGACGCCTGACTTTAGGAGAGCGCGACCGATGAAGAGGCCGCCCTTGCCGTGGTAGAGACGAAACTCGTTGGCGTCCGAGTCACACTCCAGGTGAATTCCTTTCCCCATTAACTGGCTGACGCTTAGTAGATTGTATCCTAGGTTGTCGACGATGAGAACCTTGTTGAGTTGCAGAATGACGTTTGTCTCCATTGACTGAAGCTGAACGACGCCTTGTCTGTTTGTTTTCAGGTTTTCCTTGTTGGCGATGGTGATGATGACTTCGCGGTTGAGGCGTCACTCTCGTTGCACGAAGCGCCCGGAAGAACACATATGTTGGCCGCAGCAACTGTCCAAGAACCAGGTGTTTCGTCTGATGGGTTCGGTGTTGGCGACTGCAGCGTACGTCGGGTTGACATGGAGACCTTGTGAGTGTGGCGGCGATAGTTTTTCTTCGTCTGGAGCGTAAGTGGGTGGTGACTTGGGTCTGCAGCTGTCGATTTGTACCATGCAGTTGATGATTTTGGGTGTGTTTCGTGCAGGTGTAGAGGAGCGGCTTGGCGGACTTCCTTGAGTGGAGGCTACTTGCGGATCTGCTAGACGATATACTCGGGGACGCGTACAGTTAACCTTGGAGTGTCCGGATGTCTGGCAATTGTGGCAGAACGGCGGCAAGACGGTGAGGCCTCTGGTGTCATATCGATTCTGCTTATCGCGTCGGTTGTAGGTGTTGTCGTTCCTTCTTTGAGTGTAGAAGACTAATGGCTGCTGCTTGTTCCGTGGTTGTCTTTCTTCAAACAGGTCCATCTCCTGTTGTTCAGCATGAAGCTCGACGCAGAGGTGCATCTCGGAAATTCGTCCGTGGGCGCGAAGAAGCGAGCGGGTGGTTCTCCATTATGGTCTGAGCCCGGCGAGAACAAGTGTCACGAAGCTTTCTTCAGTGATTGTCCCTCCGCACCGAAGCAAGCGGTCGCGGAGTGTCTGGCAGCGACTCATATACTGCATCGCCTTTTCCCCGGTCTTCATTTGTATTGTTATCAACTACTACATGAGTCTGCTTTGTGTTACGCTGTCGTTTGCTTGATAGAGGCACTTCAGATTATGCCAGGCGAGCTCCGCGGAGTTTCCATAGCTCCGATACGTTCTGATGCTCTGTTGCTCTTGTGGTGACAGGTTTCGCAGGAGAACTGTGTACGCCAGCAGCGACCGATAAGTGAAGATTTCTTGCTCCTTTGCAGTGCCATTACTTGGAAATGGCAGGGACCCGTTGAAGTATCCCAAGAGGTGCGCGGCCTCCATCAGCAGCTCGAACTCAAAGCTCCAGGTAAAGAAGTCGTGCCCGTTGAATGGTGAAGATGTCTGCAGTTTGATCACATGTGAAAACTGCGCCTGGAGACCTAATATCTCGTTTGGTGTCTGTTGTGATGCAGCTGCTGTTGGTTGGGCACGGGGCGGCATGAAGTCGAACGTCCCCGGTGAAGAGTGATAAGGCGCAAAGGTAGGCGCCTGATTATGCCGCCTGAATGATGAGTTGTCGAGGCTCATTGGTGCTAATCCCATATTTCCCCCGTTGCTCTGTGTTGAATGCGCAGGTGTCCTTGTCTGCTACTGCTGGTCAAAGTGCGACATGAAGCTGAAGAACCTTTCCATAAGGTTTGGGTCCATGCCTGAAGAGGGTGAAGGGGTCACCATTTCTGGTACCCTTCCTGTTGTTTCTTGAGCAGCGCCGGTCTCAGTTTGTAGTCCTAAAGTGTGTAGTCCAGAGATGTCGGGTTGAGTGTTTTGGCCGCTGGGTGAGCCCGTAGAAGACTTCTTGCCCTTGTTGTCCATGACTTTTAATCGATGAAGTTCTGATGTGCTGACTGTAGATAGAATGTCGTTGATGGGAGTTTGGTCTCTGACCAGCTCTCATACCATGTTGGGCTGAGAAAATAGCCCTTAGGATCTTTCCAGAGACTAAGTCCCACTTGTATGAAATTCTTGAGTAGTGCAGCAGAAGAGTTGAGTAGTTGAACCCTTGCACTAGTATGTGAGAGCAAGTGATTGATTAAAAGAAACAAGCATAGAGGAATATATAGAGAATAGGAAATAGAGCAGTTGTAGAATACAATTGAAGAAACGGTTATCGAGTCGCACTGGGACTCGATCGTTGGTTTGGTTACCATCCTTGCAGACGCAACGGTCGGTCGCAACCTCCGGTTGCAACCCTTCGAGTCCCTTCGTCCTTTCGTGTTCTTTCGTCCAACCTCCTCGTGCAACCTCCGTTGACTCGCGTACTCGATACGACATTTCTTCGAATGTAGTGTTACACTTCAGAAACGCTCAAGTCTTTGAGGTATTTCCAACAATCCTTGTCTGCTGCTGCGGTTCAAAGTGCGACATGAAGCTGAAGAACGTTTCCATAAGGTTTGGGTCCACGCCTGAAGAGGGTGAAGGGGTCACCATTTCTGGTACTCTTCCTGTTCTTTCTTGAGCAGCGCCGGTCTCAGTTTGTAGTCCTGAAGTATGTAGTCCAGAGATGGCGGGTTGAGTGTCTTGGCCGCTGGGTGAGCCCGTAGAAGACTTCTTGCCCTTGTTGTCCATGACTTGTAATCTATGAAGTTCTGATGTGCTGAGTGTAGATAGAATGTCGTTGATGGGAGTTTGGTCTCTGACCAGCTCTCATACCATGTTGGGCTGAGAAAATAGCCCTTAGGATCTTTCCAGAGACTAAGTCCCACTTGTACAAGATGCTTCAGTAGTGCAGCGGAAGAGTTGAGTAGTTGAACCCTTGCACTAGTATGTGAGAGCAAGTGATCGATTAAAAGAAACAAGCATACGGCAATACATAGAAAATAAGAGATGAAGTATTTTGTAGAATATAGTTGAAGGAACGGTTTATCGAGTCGCACAGCGACTCGATTGTCGGTTCGGTTAGCACCCTTGCATTCGTAATGGTCAGTCGCAACCTCCGGTTTGTGACCCTTCGAGTCCCCACGTCCTTTCGTGTTCTTTCGTCCAACTTCTTTGTGTAACCTCCGATACGACTTTCCTCAAGTATAGTTTTACACTTCAGAAACGCTTAAGTGGGGTGAATATTTTTAAAAAGCTATGAAACTCGTTTCTTTCGCAGCGGCTCGCTGCCGTGGGCGGGTGTTTTAGCGGCAGCCGCAACCTTTCGGTGCGGGAAAACATGGGGGGCCGAACGCGATTCTCAGGGAGCTCCGCGTGTCAACTCATACATGTTATGCATGTAGAAGTTATAGGCTAGTATCGGTGTGTGCTCGTAGTGAGTACAACCCAACTGCTATATGTGTCATGTTTTCCCTTCTAGTAATTCATTCACGTATTCTAACACCGCGCACCAATGGCTACCACGCCGTCGGGTAAGGAATCGTCAAGAGGACTCAGGTATCAAACTGAGAGAAGTGAATAATCGACTAGTGGGAGAGTACAGATAGATATACCTAAGTATTGTACCCTCTAAGAGGTGACCCTATACAGTCTATATAACATAACTAATACACATGTTTGACACACCCCCTAGACTGCATAGGGGAATGTCCTGAACAAGCAGCTCAGGGCGGCACTACTAGTCCAACCTCTGAGACAAGGGTCTAAAAGACCAGTCAGAAGGAGTACAGACAAGGCAAGAACAAGATCAGGGCGGCACTACTAGTCCAGCCAGTGGGAGAGGACACAAGTCCAGTCTGAGTGTACATATAAAGGGCAGTACAAAGTCAAGGCCCTAGCAAGTGAGAGGCTACAGGGACTAGACCAAGCTGTACGCAGTGCCGCTGATGATCTTTAGGCGCAAGCGCCTTCGTAAAGATATCAGCTGTGTTGGCACCTGAGGCCAAGTGTACTACGCGAGCCTGGCGTCGCTGCTGTAGCTCGCGCAGGAGGAAGTATCGCAGCTGAATATGCTTCGCTCTGCCCTCGAGTCGAGGCTCCTGACACAGGAGGATCATGGCCCTATTGTCAGCGAACAGGACCGGGGAAGAGCTAGGCCGCTCACCTAAGTCAGTGAGCAAGAAGGTCAGCCAGCGGAGCTCCTGTGCCGCCATGGCACCAGCGTAGATCTCGGCCTCACAGCTGGACTGGGCAACAGACGAGGAGCGGGTAGCTCTCCACGAGACGGCACCTGAGCCAAGACTGAAGCAGTAGCCCTGGGTAGACCTGAGTGTCTCGGCGTCGTCTGCCCACGAAGCGTCGGTGTGTCCAGTAAGGACCACTGGCATGCGTCCTCCTAGCACTAACCCCATGCCCGATGTACTAGCAAGATAACGCAAAACCCTCTTAGCGGCAGACCAGTGCTGCGGTCGGTGTCTGCCTGTGGCCACAAAGCGCGCCAGGATGCTGAGAGGGTATGCGAGATCTGGGCGAGTGCAAGTCATCAGGTACATGAGGCAACCCACCAGCTCTGCGTAGGGGCCGCTGGGCTCAACCAACTCCTCAGACACTGGAGCAGAGAGTCTGTGGTCTACAGGCAGAGGGGTGGGCTGTGCAGAGGAGAACTGAAGGCTGAACCTCTGAAGGACCTGGCGCACCAAGTGTGACTGAGTCAGGGTGATGGTGCGCGCAGCTCTGTCCCTGGAGATCTGCAAGCCAAGGTAACGGCGCAGTTCTCCAAGGTCAGTGCACCTGTGTCTCTTCAGCAGCTCTGCCTTCACGGAGGCTAGTGCGTCCCTGTCTGCTGTGGCAAAGACCAGGTCGTCGACGTAAACAAGGATGTAGAACAGAGTCTGGCCAGCACGAACGAAGAGTGAGGGGTCTGCGGAAGACGGAAAGAACTGCAGGTCAGCAAGCGTAGCACGGAGAGTGTCGTGCCACTCACGGGGAGCCTGGCGCAGGCCGTAGACGGGGCGCCGCAGGAGCCACTGGGTCCCAGGAGGGAAGGTGCCAGTAAAGCCCTGAGGGCGACGGAAGTAGACCTGCTCATGTAGGCTGCCCTGAAGGAAGGCAGTGGAGAAGTCGAGGGAGTGAAGCTCGTAGTCGCGCTGAGTAGCTAGGTGTAGCAGAACCCGAAGAGTAGTCATCTTCGGGGTCGGAGCGAAGGTCTGGAAGAAGTCCACCCCCTCACGCTGACTGAAGCCTCTAGCCACGTAGCGCGCCTTGAACACAGTCGGCTCTCCAGGAGGGCGCTTCACCTTGAAGAGCCAGCGGCCATCGACTACGTTCACCCCAGGCGGGGGAACTGCGTCGACGAAGGTGCCGGTGGATCTCCAAGATGCCATCTCTTGCTCCATGGCAGCTATCCACTGCGAGGCCCAAGGTCCCGAGGTCGCCTCAGCGTAAGTGCGAGGGGTCGGGATGTCGAAAGCGTCTGGGTCACCCTCAGGGACTAGCAGTATGGAACAGAGATGGGGAGCAGCCTCGGAGAGGAAAGCAAGCTCGAACTGGCGGTCCTCCAGGACGTCACTGCCAAGTGCAGGAGCACCCCCGACCGACGGAGGACAGGCAGGGTCAGAGACCAGAGCGGTGGCGTAGTCAAGGCGGCGGGTAGAGGCGAAGTCAGCGACTGCAGCTACAAGAACGTCAAGGCACGAGATAGGAACAGACGACTCGGTAACGAGAGAGGCAAGGACCCGAGGAACAAGAGGACGAGCGGCACGAAGGTAGTCAGACAGCGGGGGGGGTGCAACAACAAGGGAGGACGGAGGAGGCGACGGGAGAAGGGGAGGACGAGACGCGTGGGAACGAAGCAACATAGGGTGGGAGCGCAAGACAGGCGAGGCAGGACGAGCACAGGAGGGATGGTGAGACTAGACGTATGACGGAGGAGTCGGGTCAGGAGACAGGGGAGGGGACACAGGAGGGGAACGAGGAGGAAGACGGGCCGGGGACGAGTCCGGCGGAGGGAACACAGGGCCGTAGACGGGAAGAGGAGGAGATGGTCGGAAAGGAACAGCCGCAGGGTCAGGGGACGGAAGGCCGAGCAGGCGAAGGGCTGACACCGGCGGGGACTGCTGCTGCGGCGGCACAACGGCGACACCGGGACTGCAAGCGGCTCCGCGGCTACCACCAGCACACTCCACACCAGCACCCCCAGAGGATCCACCCCCAAGGCGACCGGGACTAGCACCCCCAGAGTCAACGAACGGGTGCTGCGACGGCGGCGGCGGCGGCAGCGACAACGACGGCTGCAGCGGCGGCAGGGGCGGTGGAGGAGGGGACTGGGGAGGGGACGCCGGGGGAGGGGCGGCCGGCGAGGACTGCGCAGCAGGGCCACCAGAGTCAGAAGACTCCTCAACCGGGTCCACCGACGGAAGGGGGGTGACGTGGGACACACCAGAGGGGGCAGGACGGGGAGGAGGAGGGGGAGGGGCAGGGACTACCGGGGAAGGAGTGACCAGGAACAGGGGGGGGGGTAACTGGGGGACCGCGGTGAGGGAAGCGACGGTAGTAGGAGACGGACTCGTCAAAGGTGACGTCGCGAGAGTGAAAGAAGCGGTGAGACGGCGGGTGGTAAAAGTGCCAGTCGGACGCGTCAAGGGGAAAACCGAGGAAGACGCAGGGAAGGGTGCGGGCAGTGAGCTTGTCCGTGCTGGAGGCACGGACGTGAGCAAGGCAGCCCCACACGTGAAACGCAGACGCGTCACCAGGAGACCCAGTCCAAAGACGGGTCGGCGAAACCTGCGGCTGCTGAGGGTGCGGCCACAAGTTAAGCTGGTGAGAAGCGTAGCGCACAGCGAACGGCCACAGAAAATGGGGTGCACCGGCATGGATCATGGAGGTGCGAGCCACCTCATTACCAAACCGATGCGTCGCTCAGCGACCCCATTCTTCTGTGGGGAGTCCGGTAGGGTGAACGTCTGGGTGATGCCCTCCGCACGACAAAAGCG